TAGTTCTTTTAGTTCTGGATGTTGGGGGATCCACGTGCCTCGCAGCTTTTCTAGAGGAATTAGTGCTGGTTATTAATGTATGAAAAAAAAAGCATCCATCAAATACCTGTAATTCGCGTCTGACGTCATCCAGCAGACTTGGTATTTTTCGGCATAGAATTTTCTATGGCTTTATCAATTGCAGAAAGAAAATTTCGTTATTGTGCACGGGAGAAGCGAGGAAAAATGTCAAGCTGCCATCGATTATATTATGCGTGAGGCAAAGTTAAACGATAAGTCCAATCTGGATTTTGTTGTTGCCGATTTCTCGGATTTGAAAGAGGTAAGTGGATAATAAGGTACCTCGCTTTAGTCTAGGAGCAGCAGCTTTCGCGGAGGGTGGGGATCTCACCCCACTTCTCATTATTCCGTTTTAAAATCTTCGCTCATACGCATCCAGATCTTGCGTACGGACCCCCATAAAAAAAAATATGCAAATTTCTTTGGCGTTGAGTTGGCTATCCCTTTAAGAGTCGGGTGGAGTATTGGCATCGCAAGCATACTGACCACTGAGCTGTACAGTCAGAGTAGCTGGAAAAGTTGCCAGTCGCATAGTTGGAGAACCACACTATGAATTAATAGCCATTCCTCATTTATAAGACTTTGATCTGTGGATTTTTGATAACTTCTGATATACCGAAGTCTTCGCTCATACGCGCCTAGAAAATAATAGAATTTTGATGAATTTTGCCTTTTTTCCCAGGATATAAGGATTTTTCTTTTTTGCTCATCTTGACCAGCCAGGAAATTTAAGGTGTCTAATCTGGCGACAGAAGTGGAGAAGCGCTTTCCGCGGCTCAATATTTTATTGTGTAACGCCGGTGTTCTTTTGCCGAAAAGAACGGAAAGCAGGGATGGATTGGAATTGACTTTTCAGGTGAGACCGCTTATAAATCATGCATGCTGTAGTCATCGTCATCCCCGGTGTTTACGGAAGTAAGGTGTCTGTCAACGAGAAATTTGGCAAAACCGCAACTAAGTGAAAAGTTGGGAAAGGCCTAAATTGAATTGCTGTTGTCTTAGCATAACTATGGCTTCATTTACAAATTATCCGTAGAATTCACTTGTTATTATTTATTTTTATTCGAAGAATAATTAATTTGTTTGGTGCCTTCTTCCTCGTCCCCGCCAAAATCCTCATTTAACACTGAAACTGGAGATCTCTGTTCAACTGGTGTCTTGAACTGCGAAATTTCCCACTAAAAATTTCAATGTTGCCTGAAATACAAGCATACTTAAAAGCTGAATTTAAAACTTTTGTCGGCCAGAAACAAATCATGCCGTGTTGTAACGAGAATATTTTAGATTAGGGTAGAACTAATTGCTGCGCGGTTTGCAAAGTAAATGTAACTTTGGGTGACTACAGGCCAATTTGAATTTATTTTTCCTGAAAATTCCAAGAATGGGAATTTACAGCCTATGATTTTGAGGCCCTTGAAACCCGCATATTTTCTTGTTTCCCTTGAATAACTCATTCAGTATAGCAACGATACCAAAAACATGTGCTGCTTTCACAAGCTTACTGATGTAGTTCATGTAATTTTGAATT